CTCAGCCACATGCTCTACGTGATGTATTCTGGGTTGCAGGAGGAGCTCAGCGATGCCAAGTCGAAGATTGACGTGATCAGCGCCAAGCAAGAGGAAATGCAGCAGAAAATCGAGCAGCTCCAGCAAGAGAAACGTAGGGAGTCCCGGAAAGTGAAAGCTAAGTAAGGAACAAAATCCAGACTGCCTGGAAGTGCCCATTGTCAATTAGCCGCGGCCTCCGTTAGTGCCAGCGTAATCCCTGAGGGCAGGGAGGTGCCGGCTCTGCAGAGGCACAGCGGGCATCTCAGAGGAGAGGTTCTGTGTATCACCCCCCAGAGGAACGATTAACACGTGCCGTGTCCTCACTGTCGACCCAACAGAGCTGGTGAAAAGTGACACAAGTAACTTCGAGGAAACCCTCAGCTAAGGGTTTACTGAACAATGTAGATCTGTGTAAAAATGCCAGGGGCCTTTCCAAAGGGGCTTTTGGGGCACAAGTGCCACGGGAAGCCAATGGGATGACCTCTGAAGCAGTCTCGTTGAAAGCCAATGGCATACGGTATTATACAAGCCCTCTAGCGCTAATGGCAACCATGTCCCATGTCCCTGAGGTTCTTTTGAAAATCCCATGCACAATATGACAAAAGCCAGACAAGAGCAGTGTGTGTGCTGCTATCTACTAGCTAGCCTGCCACCATGCAGCTTCCTGGGCCAGGCACGGCTCCCAAACGCAGGGACAAAGGGGCTGCGGGGACAGTTGATTTGTACCCTGACAGAACAGGATCCTTGCCGATCTCGCTCCCTACGCTGGCTGCCAATGGCGTCATGAAAGGGCACTTGGGACTGGTGTTCCCTGTAAGCTGGGTGCTTGTGCGGCTCCTCAGGCAACATTCTAATGCTGCCCAGCTGATTAGCAGAGCACCCACAGCCAGGTTTGTGTTTTTCTTTGTGGTGCACATTCAAATACACACTGGTGTATATACAATTTATTCCACACATGGGTGGAACAAAATCCATAAGGGGATGGAATAGATCAAAGGGACCATTGCCTGGGACACCTGGCTGTGAGTACTGTCTGTTGGGGCATGGTCCAGAGACTAGCTCTCCTGCTGGCACAATCAGAGCTACTGTGTGACCCAGCTGAGACCCATCCCGGGCGGGGCACCCTCACTGATGTTAGCCACGTGACTGAATGCACCACTTGAAGTGCTCAGATACTACAGTGGTGAGCAGACTAGAAGCTCTTCTGTAGGACAGAACAGGGAAAGTCTGTTGGACTCTGAGGCCAGGTCTGTACTCTAGGTACATTGCTTCAGGTACGCAATTCCAGCTACGTACAGGACATAGCTGGAGTCAATCTATGGCGTTGTCCTCGCAGCAGGAGGTTGATGGGAGAAATGCTCCATCGACTTCTCTTACCTTCCCTGCCCCCGGTGCCAATGGGGGCACCCTCAGCATTCCATTTAGCAGGGCTTTGCTAGACCCGCTAAATCAAACCCCAAAAGATCCATCACCTCAGTGTCGATCTTACCGCAAGTCTAGACGTGCCTAATGTCCAGTACACTGCATTTCCTGTGCGAGATTCTCCTTGTCCATTGCAGCTCCGCGCAGGGGTTGTGACTAGCTAGTATCTCGCTCACCGCACACCTTACACTTGTTCCGCAGCAAAGCAAGCCCACCCTGCTGTGGGGGAGCATCTCTCCATTCCTCATCCCCTTCCTCCGCCCTTGCCCCTCCTGGCTGAGGGGCCAGATGCCTGCAGAGAGCAGGACGCATGTTGCGGGTGCAACGCCAAAAGCCCAGAGTGCTGCCATGTGACTGCCAGGTGGTTTGAGAGACAGCTGCTTGGATAATGCAGCACAAAGTTTGCTGCTCCCCTGGAGTGCACAGTTACAGCTGCAGTTTCGGATGCAGACTATGCATGCCCCGGAGCCCGCTTGGGCCTAGATGCATGGTGTGGCACCCTCTGGTAGGCTCATTTTACAGGCATTGGCCAGGGATTGTCTAGGCACCAGATACACCCAACACCTAACCCCCTTTGTGCAGCCAAGCCTGAGTTACTTGGCTAAATAGCTAATGCTGGGCAAAGAACCTACGTTCTGGCCTGACCCTGTCCTTCAGCCAGGAGGAGGAGTCATGTTAGTGAGCTGCATCAGATGCAGCGAGCCCAGGAGTTGAGCCCGGAGTGGGCTCGGGTTGTATGCGCGCTCATATTCGTATTGCAGTTTGCCAGGGTTACGGTTTGAGCCGAAAGCTTGCTCTGTGGGACTGTGCCTTCCAGCCGCATCTCTTGATTTTCACAGAAGAACACAAAAGGATGAGCACGGGTCCCAGACAGTGCCCACTCCTCTCCAAGGCAGTCCGTTCCGATCGATACATCTCCCAGAGCCTGCACTGAGTAATGAAGACTTTACAAATCTTTTGCCCCAGGCAACCTACGAGAGAGGTACGAGTGAGAGGGCGAATGAAGCGAAGTTCCTTTCCTTTCTTCTGAAAATCCCTCCCCATAGGAAAGTCTTATAAGAACATCAGAACAGCCAGACTGGGTCAGACCAAAGGCCCCTCTAGCCCAGTTTCCGGTCTGCCAACCGTGGCCAATGCCAGGTGCCCCAGAGGGAATGAACAGAACAGGGAATCCTCACGTGATCCCTCCCCTGTCGCCCATTTCAAGGGATGAGATGTACATTGCTGATACCAGTATGTGTACACACACTAAAAATGGCTGAAGACAATGTCCCAGCACTGGGCTGAATGTGATCTCGGGGAGGTTGGATCTATTTGGGGTAAGCAGGGGCTGGCCCTGGGGAGAAGCTAGTTTGCATTGTTTGGCCCATGTGCTAGGAGTGCCAGGAATACTTCGATATGGCTGTTGAGAGTTCCTGGGCTGGATTAGACCTGGGCTTCATTTAGGCCCCGATTCAGAAAAGCATGTAAGCGCAGGATTAACTTTGAAGACAAGTTCCAAAGAAATATTAAATGGTTCTGTTTTGCTACCCGAACCTATTGCTTCCGTGGCTAAATTTCTGGGTTATATTCTCCTTACTAAAATCGGTAACTAGGGAGAAAAAATTCCTAACCTGACCTGCTCATTAAACTTGAAAAGTTCCATTTAAATTAAAAAATAATCAGCACGACATTTCAACAACACATTTTGCTCTGTTTTCTGTTCTTCTATTTCTTTCTCCTCCTGATAATTTGCCCTGTTTTGTTCATGCCCTCTGAAGCATTTGGCAACAGCCACCACTGGAAAACAGGATACTGGGCTAGACAGACCATTGGTCTGACCCAATATGGTCATGTTTACATTCTTACGACCCAGCTGGTAATGAAGTCAAGAGATGAGGTGGATCTCTCTCAGTAGACGACCTAAAAGAGGCATTCCACACAGGCTGAGAATATTAAAGAATTAAAAATCTAAGCCCTCCATTCCTTTCCATAAGAAATGTTCTGCACAAACACCTGCTCCTGCCTATGTATATTAACATCTTATGTCGCTTTCCTTCATTCTTCCACAGTCTCGGACACCAGATCCATGGCTGCCGGAGATGGAAATGTGAAGGGAACTGGTAGGTGAATAATTATCTTTTAAAATTTCCTCTGGGGTTCACCAACTGGCCTTTTTAGAAGAATCCCGGCAAAATGGAATAGCACATGTACACGCTGTGCAATTCTTTCCAGCCAATGCCGAGTTTTGCTCTGGGAAAACAAACCTGTCAGAGTCCATGAAAGCAGCCATTTAGCTGAACTCGTGGTAGATTTCAACACGTGAAGAATCTTTGCCAGAATATTGTAGTTGCATTCAAACCGGTGCAAATCTGAATATATGGACCAGTCCCTGGCTGCAGGGGCAACCCAGTCTTCGGATTTGCAACTGCCAAGTGTTCTGCAGGCAACAAGAAGTCAGGTGTCATTTGTGCAGGTCCAGCTAGCCCCTACAAGAAGGGGGACTTGGGCTTCACTACTATGGAAAGTATATCCACTGTAATCTGTACAGCACTCCATCACTTTGGAGGGGCCGTGCTTTGTACTTATTACATGGCAGACTTTCTGCAAAGATTGTAAGCTCCTGACCGCAGCTTGTGGTTTCTAGGTGGGAGCATTGCAAATCCAGACACAGAAGAAAGCTTCAAGCCTTCCTTGCCCACTGACATTCTGCCAAAAGGTCACCCCCCATCGAGCGTGTGGAAGCAGCCCAAAGACAGTAAAGAGTGGGGTGATGAATATATGTCTAAGGAGCATCCAGACAGAGTGAAGGAAACAGGCCAAAGCAGATACACCTCAGTGGACAGCGTCTTATGCGAAACCTCTTTTGCTGGTAAGAATAAAGAAAAAGTGGTGGCTACCAAGCCTGGGATTCTACAGACCATCAGCTTTGGGATTCTAGAGATCATCAGCTCTCACCTGAAATCAAATAAGTTATCCGGGGGAGCTAACAAGGCCAGATTATCCATTAGTCACAACAGGCACAGTGCTTAGGGCCTACAAAACATTTATAAACTGATTCGAAAATAAGAAAACTGCTGAAATCAAACTCAGTAATTTGCTCTCTTTAGACAACAACCACCACGCAGGTGCAGTGTTATGGCTGACGATTGTATATGCAATGCTCTGGGTTACCTACTGGGGTGCTTTGAGCTTCAACCTAGAGCCAAAAGGGACAGCGTCACTGCATGCCCTGAAACTCTGGCTTTCTTAAATGCTGTGCTGCTGCAGCTCACAGCCCTTCCAACAGCCGGCAGACAAGCACGCAGGTCATACGCTGTATTCCACTGCCACGGAGTACAAAGCCCGGCGTTCCCTGTGGGCTGCAAGAATACCCTTCGGTCTCAGGCCCCAACTAGCAGCAGTCGCCTGGCTCTGCTCCTCCCTGAACCACTTCGGCTTTCTCAGGGGCTGTTTTTCCTTGCCAAAGCCCTAAATCCAGTGAATATGCCAGACATGCTCCACATCAGTCTTAAAGCGCCAGTACCCCCATTACTCTCACCTTTAGGGCTGGACGCTCCTCATTGGTGAATTGTTTTCAGTGATAGTCAGAAGGCAAGTCAAGGGAATGGCTGCAATCCTTGGAGTAGCCAAGGGGTTAATTCAGCCCTTGTCATAAGTTAGAGCAGCCTCAGGGTTGCTCTGGCTTATGCGGTTAGCCTCTTAGAAGTGGCACAGGCACTTTCTGTATCAGCTGTGGGCTCCTCCCAAGGAAGTCCCAGCTTCTCTGCTAGGGCAGCTCTAGGTGGTGTGAGCAGGCTAAAGATCTGGCCCTATCTATTCTCAGTGGAACAGTGTATTTGATTTAAAGATAGCAATAATTACTAGAGATGCAGCAAGTTAGTAGCAAATGTGACGGGAATTTTCTGTTTATGATTTCTAAAAAAGCTGATCTCGCACAAACTCCAGGGAGTGAGGGCAGAGGCACGTCTGTTTGCTGTCTTTCTTGTAAATAGACTATGGCCCTGATCAAGCGTGGAGCACTTCATGGATCCCAGCCGGTGTTCCCTTTAAGCACGGCAGCCTGGCTTCACAGGTGATTAATCCATGCACAGAGCCCTGAGCCTCTGACTGGGTGGGGCTGATCAATCAACTGTGAAGCTGGGCTGCCCACAGCTTAGAGGGAACACTGGTCCCAGCTAGAACTTGATATTTTGGGGAAAATGTATGTGAAAAGAGGAAGCTTCTTCAGCCTCTCCCTTCCAGCTGTCTGGTCAAACACACGCGCTCAGCTTTTAACATGTTGTTTTAAATCAAACTTTTTGCTGAAGCCAAAAGGCAGAGCATTGCTTTGGAGCTCCTCGAGTCCGAGAGGAAATACGTCATCAACCTATCCCTGATCCTGAAGATCAAAGCCACGTTGCAAGTGTCGGACATGAAGAGGAATGCCAAAGAGAGAAGGTAACTGGCTTTTAGCAAAGGGCCTTTTCAACATTCTTAGTTCTTCCCCCTCCCACCATCTGGGAACTTTCTCTTAGCCGCTTGGAAACACTAAATGCCTGATGCTTCTATAGCCAGAAAGCTTAACATTTTTAAGATGGGTAAAAGGGTCTGCCTTTCCCTGCCTCTCTGCTTTCAGCAGTTCAGCCGTTCAATAGATTCCAAGGCCAGAAGTCTGACTTCCTGTAGCTCAGGCCATAGAACTTCCCCACAATATTTCTTTGAGCAGATCTTTTAGAAAAACAGCCAATGCTGATTGAAAAATTGGCCAGTGATTGAGACTCCAGCAGGACCTTTGGTAAATTGTTCCAAGAGTCAAGTGTCCTCACTGTTAAATGTATGTTTTCTTTCCAAGCATTTGCTGTCTCTTGTAATCCCCTCCCCATACCCTCTGGCCCTACCTCATGCTATCTTCCTGTCTGTCTCCTACTCTCCAGCACCCACTATCTGAGACTAGAGAACAACGTCCCCCTCTCTAGGGCTCCAAGTCCATCCCTCTCCCTCTGCCATTGGAAACTAGCTGGCTCAACATGAACTAACGGACCAGCTACTGCTGCCCCATTATAATCAAATATGAAGTACATTATTCAGTATCCTACGTGGCTAAAAGGCATTTCCCATTCCTGTCTGTTTGGCTGTCTCTTGTCCTTCTTCTTTCCACCTCCTGTGTCTCATGTCTGTTTCCTCTGCATGGTTCTGGTTCCTTTTTCACCTTTTCCTTCTTTCAGGATCTCTGTGTAGCTCTCATGGCCATAACCTTCAAAAGCTATGTCTGCCCATTTCCTTGCTGTATTTTAATATCACCATGACAACCTTGGCATGTTTTCAATCCACATACTTCAATGGCACAATCACATGCTGTTTATAAAAAGTACAATATCATACTCTCACGCCCCACCCAGTCTTTGGACAGGGAGTTAGTTGGTAATTCTCTTTCAAAACAATGTTTGATGGATAATACTGTTTCTACAGAATTGAAATTTTCTATGGGAAAATGTAGATTTTGCTGAAATTTGTCCATTTTCTGCCAGGTAATCAGAGCATCTTGAATTTGGTCCTGCCTTGGGCAGGGGGCTGGACTTGATGACCTCCCGAGGTTTCTTCCTGCTCTATGATTTTATGAATCCAAACATTTCAGTTTGTTGCATCAAACGGAAAAGTTTTGTTTCTGGTTATTTTGAAATTAATCTGAGCTGCCATAGTGACATATAGAAGTTGTACTTCTGGTTCCTCTAAGCCTCATTCTTCATTATAGGCTGGGTTTCCTGACTGAACTACATCTCCCACAATGCACCATGATCTCCTCTCTGGTTAAATTGCTGTGATGCACTGTGGGAGTTTCTTGACAGAATGCATTCTGGGAGATGTAGTCCAAGGAAGAAACCCTGCTCATAGAAGTGACTGGAGGTATGAGGAATTCTAATTACAATCCCCATTAGGCAGATTCAGCAAACTGAAAAGTTAGAATGCTTCGTTTTCAAACTGAATTTTTTTGATGTTTCAATTAAGAAAAATATTTAAATATTTTGCATTTTCATCCTCATTTGGAGCAAAAGCCATTGTCAAAATATTGCAGTTTCCCACAGGATGGAAGTCTTGGCCAGCTCTCCTTGTGAGGTACATCTTGTAACGTGCACAGGGAATGAGCCCCCTTCCTACTTCCATAAGTGTTTGCAGGATTGGCCCTACATCCTCTTAGTCAAATGGCGTGAGTGGGCTAAAGATCTGCCCGTAATAGTGGCTCATTCTTTTAGCTGTGTAGGTTTGTGCCCCACTGGGCAGAGTTGGTTACCCAAGGCCATGGAGAATTAGGCCCAGTGAATGCAAAACTACGTGAACTGGAGCCACAAAACACTAGATTTCAAGCTCTGTGCTCCAGGAACTGCCTGCAAACATGCATTTGAATCTAGTATGGTTTGTCATTGGTCTCTAGGCTTTACCCTAACAGTAGAGATTAATAATGCCTTGTAAAGCAAACCCAGCAAATTGCAAGTTGCTGCCCATAAATATGAGCAGAATCTGTGGGTTCCCAAAGCCTAGGAACTGGATTATTTTTCTAGACAAATGTCTACACTTTTCTCTGTGCAATCCTGTTATCTTCCCTCTTTAGTTTCTTCCCCAGCTCTTTACGATACCTGATCCAGCAGCACGTCGACTTACTCCACACGCTGCAAGAGAGGGTGCTGAGTTGGCCCCGGCCGGGAATCCTGGGGGACATATTCCTGAAGTTAACCAACGATGAGGTACGATAGTGCTCATGGCAGAAGGCTCCCAACAGTGGCATTGCAACTGCGTTTTGGTTTGGTCATGGCGTGTTTGGATCAAACGGAACTACAGATTCCCCCTCCCCTCAATGCAATTATGGCTCTGGCTGTGTAGCAAGTTTAAAGGAACTCTTGGGATAGCAATTCGACATCCCATCCCACGTACCGGTTCAAGTCAAGAACGGTGTGTCCATTCTAGCATCACAGAAACGCAGAACTGGAAGGGACCTCAAGAGGTCGTCTAGTCCACTGCCTCATGCGGGGGCAGAGTTAAGCATATGTAGGCCATCCCTTACAGACTCATGTTCTTAAAATCTTCCAGTGCTGATCCCATGTTCCAATTGTGGCTGGCGGTGACTTTTCAGGCAGGCTTACAAACACGTGCGCAAATTATGGCCGAACTTGGCCAAGCTGCGAGCTACCCCTCCCCATCCCCCTGCCCCTTCTGTCCGTCTCGGAGCCAACAGGGAACCTGGGGTAACCCTGCAGAATTTCAAATCACTAACGTTTCTAAGGGAGCATTTCTGGGTTGGTTCCGCAGAACAATTTCCTGGACTACTACATCGCGTACTTGAGGGACCTGCCAGAATGCATCTCGCTGGTCCACGTGATGATTCTGAAGGAGGTAACCTTCTTTCCTGCTACTTCAGAGACTCGTCCACCATGACACACAGACACTACTGGCAATAGCAAGGGCATAGTCTGTACCCCCCCCGCCCAGTGGACAGGAGCAGTTGCCAAAGCAAATGTTAACGTAGTGCTAGGAAAGGCATCAGGCAGCTGCAATAGCACAGACGTAGCAGTGCCCCCTGAGCACATGAAAGAGAGCAGAGACCTGCCAGACCTGCTTCTGACATGATTAAATCCAGGGCCACGATTGCCTTTGGCTCCCAGGCACGCTTATGGCACCAATGACACCTTTCAGCATAACCACGTCAATGCGAACGATACCCTGGGTGCTTGAGAATCCCGGGAGAGCCTGGATTTTCTGGGAAGTATCTAAACCATCCCCGGATCATCCCAGGTGTGATCCAAACCATCCAGTGTCTCTGTCTGCAAACCGAACTGCTTCCTCCTCCCTGCACCACTTCCCACGGCCCGTCCCTGTTGGAGCATAATATTTCCCAGGGTTTCATCCTGCCTTTTCTGGCCATCCCACTAACCAAACGATCTTATGGCCAGACACCGTTTGCTGAGTGATGGCCTTGTTGGTCGACTGGCCGTTTCGAGATCCCAAGGCAGCTCATTCTAATGCCACCATGTGTGTGAATGAAGTTACATTCAGAAGTACAACTGGATCAATATCTAAACAACACCCCTCTCCCCGCCCCACCCAGACGTTCTCCGCTGCATTCCATCCAGACACCGCTTGGGAGGGGACGCAGGAGAATGGAGAAGCTATTCCACTTGCTCTGGAGAAGGGCCCTTCCCTGACCTCTTTGCTGCCAGCCCCTTTGCATTCATGCCCGGGGTCTACTGGCCTAAGTTGCTCAGCTGGATGCAAGTCCTGAGGTGTATCCCAGGAAAGAGAGGCAGTGTCTACAGGCCAGATGCTGATGTTCTTATTCACCCTAAGTTGTGCCCGGCCCTTGCACGGTTCCCTAGAAATCAGTGGGACTGGTCAGAAGCGATGTTGCCAGTGGGCACAAGGGGCTTACAGTCCAGCCCTTTACACAACACGCCTGGGACAGCGGTCCTCTTGGTCCATGGCCGTTCACCTGTCACGCCCTGTGAGTTGCTGTATGTCCCATACAGCGTCAGGCGAACACTAACAGCCCTGGGAGCCTACGAGGCACGGTGCTATGTGATGCTAACTCTACTCTCTCCAACGCAGGTGGAGGAAGAAATTAAATCCGACCTCTACATGCTGTTCTTTCACATAGTCCAGCGTATCCCTGAGTACCTTATTCACCTGCAGGTAGGACCAGCGCCTGCCTATTGCGCGGTAACCTCGGTACTCGGCAGCAGCGTTTATGCTGTGCGTTACTGCGTTCAGAGCTGGCCCTTGTGGCCACCCGGCAAAATCTCTGGGCCTTGGAAGCGGAAGCCGGTGCAGACGGGTCTCTAGCGGTGATTTCTCATGGCTTTTCACCCTGGGAATGCTCAGACCCTCGCACAACTGTGGGGGATGGGTCGGCTTCCGGGGACTGGGCCAGAGTTGCTAGGAGCTACTAGCCAACTACGTACAGCTGACTCGGCTCTTTGCCAAGTAGCCAGCAAGGTCTCCAGCCACAAAGTTGGTGGCTTAATAGTGTGCGAGACAGCCTGGCCTAGTGGGACTGGCCTGGAAGGGAAGGGTGCCTGTGTTCCAGGCCCTGCTCCGACATCAGCCCACTCCTTGCCCTCGGATGGTTCGCATCTTGTCCTGTTTAGCCGAGTTTCCCATTTTGGAAACAGAGCAGATGTGTCCCTGTGGGGTGGTGAGGCTGGGCCTATGCCTGCTGGACAAATAGGGTGGGTGGGAGAGGAATGTAAGCCAGGGCATGGCTGGGGGAGAGCAGGGCCGTGAAGGAAGCGGAGAGAGAATGCAAACGGGACGGGAACAGCCTGCCGCCCGGCTGGCAGTGGGGTGGGTGGGTACAGGAACAGCAGAAGAGGATACCCGGGAAAGACACACAGGTTGGTGATGGCTATTGAGGGATGGGTAACCCTTTTCCTGACAGCTCCTGTTTCTCTGTCCCTGGGACACACACCAAGAGTAAACCCCCGACAAGGGAACCCCACACAGGCAGCACAGACATTGGGGGTGTTGCTGACCCTCCTCTGGATCCTCACGCTAGCGCTGTGCAGCCGGGCTGTGTGAGAACCAGGTCTTGGGCCTGTCTCAAAGGAAAGGCTGGCTCTGGCTTAGACCTCACGGGAGAAAGGCCGCAGCAGTGCTCTATGAAGGCCCAGAGAGCCTGAGGCATTAGTCTGAAGGCCCAGCCGCACTGTCCTGGCATTGTCCGAACGCCTGCCCGAAGAGCTCACGCAGAGCCCCGGGCCACTGGCCGATTCTTAGAACTAACCCTGGAAAACGCAAGGGCCTCGTCCAAGCCATCTGCTTCCCTTTGTGCCCCAGAACATCCTGAAGGTCACGGAGCAAGAGCACCCTGACTACTACCTGCTGCTGGTGTGCGTGCAGCGCTTCCGCGTTTTCATCTCGCACTACAGCCTGCTCTTCCAGTGCAATGAGGACCTGCTCATCCAGAAGCGGAAAAAGCTGAAGAAGTAAGTCTGGCACCAGGGCAGCCTTGCACGCTCAGGGAGAAACGATGGAGCGGGTGGGACCAGAGGGCTGGGATCTCAGTTGGGGTGCATGGGCCCACCCACTGGAGTGCCGTCAAATTAACCCCACCAGCTGAGGGTGCGTCTCGTTAGAGCAGAACATCCGTTCTCAAGTTTGGGATCAGATTTGGAGCAGCCGTGTCCTGGTGGCTCAGGAAAAGGAAAGAAGCTGCTTGTATGTGTTCTAGATCCGTGGTATCCAACTAGTTCACTATAGCGACTGCTGCTAGAGCAAACTAGCCACACTCAACCGGCCTAATGGCCACATGTGGCTAGCGTGTTGGACATACCAGCCATTTAAACAACTGACTCCTGGGTTTCATAGGCCTGCTCCACCCTAGAAAAATCACCCTGGTGCTGACTGCAGCTGGTAGCCGAGGACTCAGCTACAAGCCTCCAGGAAGTTAGCCACTGCTCGCTGAAATAGCTTTGCATGTGCCCAGAAGACCTCCTAGCACAAACAGACAAGACGGAGTTCTTGTCCCAGCAGACGGGAGCGGAGGCACTGGGGGTTAAGTAACTTGCTTGATGTGCTGCAGGAAGCCTGTGGCTGACTGGGAATCAAACCTAGATCTCCTAAGCCCCTGATAAGGGCCGGAGCCACAAAGCCAGCCCCCTTTCTCCCAAGCGGGGCTGTTACTGAAGTGATGAGCAAACTGGCCTTAAAAAATAACACCAGCCAAGCGGCTTCCCCTGATCTCGAGTCTCGTCCGCCTGGTGCCGTTGACTGGTGCTGCATTTCAATTCCTCCAGATCGTCCCTGGTGAAGCTGTACAAAGGCCTGGCTTCTCAGTGGGCCAGCGTCGGCCAGGAGGTTTCTCCGACACCCAGCACAACATCCATCCGAGACAGCGGCATCCATGCTGAAGAGCTGATGCAGTCGTTCCCAGCAGCCTCCTCTTCCAGCGCAGCAGCCATGTAAGCCTGTCGTCAGCCCGAAAAGGCCGGTCTTGCCCCCCCGCTCCCTCCAGCGCGTTTTGGCAGCAGCAACGTGCCACTAGAAATTGCCACGCATGCAGCGGTCGCATGGCCTCTTGAGGGGAGCACCCAGTGCCAGGTAGTAACACTCTCCATGCGTTCCCAGGCGGAGGTACGTTCCCGGGGCAGCCTGGCCGAGAACTTGGAAAGTCTGGGGTAGGAGCAGAGGGACTGTAGTAGCCAATCAGGGGCCAGAGATTTGCATTAGCCCATGGGAGTTATTGCAGTCTGGTTGGCTAACAATGGCTGCCAGGTGGTCCAACAGGATTCAAATGTGCTATGGGCGAGGGCGACACGCTCGCGAGGGAGCAGGGTAACTGGAGGCCCACCCCTTTCTGGTCCAACCCGCGCTGCTTGGGAAACGAGCGAGGGCTTTCCAGGCGAGCGGCTGTAGCTCCTGAACAAGGAAGCCGGACCCTTGGGAACGCCCACTGGTTTTCGGCCAAAGCCTAATTCCTTTTTTGGGTTGACTCGCTCCCCCGCTCCCCCATCCCCTTTGGAAAATGCTGGTTCGTTGCCCTTCAACTCGCTTCTTGACTCCGCACGTGCTGGAAATTGCCCACGTGCATCATTTCAGCCCCAGGAAATCCTGGTCTGTGGCTCAAAACTCCTTGGGTGTATTTCGAATGGTTCAAATCGAAACCAAACATTTGGAAACGATTGAAACCAAATATCGTGATGGACGCGGCCCCCGTCCTCGGTCATTATCTACCCAGCTGGGGGATTTTCAGTTTGCAAAAAGCCTGGTCCCGCTCTCGGGATGATATTGTTTAAAGTCTCCGTTTGCTCAGGATGGGGAACCTGGAGGTGAGGGGCACCGGGGGCAGGGCGTGAGGGAGGCAGAGTGAGGCCTGGCGCCCGAGCTGGGGGGTGGCCACAGACTGTACAAGAGTAGGCGCTCTGAGGAGAGGGGCCTGGGGCTGTCCTCTTGCCCCAGCTCTGTGTGAGTGGGCGAGCTGCCCACACGCATGGAGTTATTGCAGAGGTGCTGGAACGGCCCCAGTGCCCAGCAGCCATGCCAGGGTTTCCGTGGCTCTGGGCTCCAGCTGCACACGGACCCGCAGTAACCAGAGGGCCCCTCCCCCACCAGCCTGGCCCTGCTGATGGCTGCTCTTTGCTGCACCCGGCCGGACGCTTGCGGCGCCCTCAGTAAGTCGCATTTGAGTAAGATAGCGGCCGGGCCAGCTTGCCACGTGCATGCACACCACAGTTCCTTCTGCATTTCCTCCTCCTCTCCCCTCCTTTTTAAGGCATCTGATGCCACAGATGAAGAAGAGCCAGCCTGCGCTGATGGAGAACCTCCAGGCTGGGAAGCCGTCGGAGTGGGAAGTGGAGGCTAGAAAACACGAAAGGCCAGAGAACATCCTCACCTCGTCTCAGTTCTCCGAGCAGGAGCTAAAGGCCACGTCCATCTCCTTGCAAGCCATCCCGGAGATGGACTATGAAGCCCTCCCAGCGGATCCAATGGGAAACGCCGAGAGATCTGCCAGGACCTCCATGGAGCTGCTGCAAGACGCTAGGAGCTTTGCTCCGAGCTACGAAGAGCTGGACTACGGGGGGGAAGTTTTCACCCTGCCAGGTGCCTACGAGGAAGAGGCTTTTCCAGGCCTGGCTCTGTTTGAGAACTGCTCCCCTGCCTCCTCCGAATCCAGCCTCGATATTTGCTTTCTAAGGCCTATCAGCTTCACGGTGGAATCAGACAGGACCGATCACGCGGCCCCGCCGCCGCCGAAGAGCAGCAGCACGTACAAGCGGGAGGCGTTTCACGCCAAAGGCAAGCAGCTGAGCAGGTCCCTGAAGGAATTCCCCCGGAGCGCCGAGGGCGTGACCACCAGACTCTACAGCACCAGGAGCACCAGCAGCAGCCAGCTGCAGCACAAGCAGGAGAGAAGCGTGCAACCTCACCTGATCTCCGCAGCGTCTAGGAGCTCCCAGCGGAGCTACTTCCCCCCCCAGAGAGGGCTGGGGGAGAAACCGAGCTTTTTGGAAGTAAGGAGGCGGAAGTAGCAAAGCCACATTTTGCAGCAGGGTCAGAGAAACGTCTAGGGGAGAATGTTCCACATTTGCAGAGGCGGAGCCCTCCCGGCGCAGGCCCGCCAGGCGGTGCCCCGTTTGCACGCGGCGAGCAGGCTGCAGGTTCAGAGCCCACTCTTGAAAATCTGGCCCGTCGTGTGCGGCTGGCGTTCTTCTCCTGCTGTCACCGAGGCCCCACAGTCCACGTTCAGCCCCTGCAGCAAGCCTGTCCCTGGCGGACGGGCTGATTAACAAGGGCGCACCGCCCTTTGGAATGGGGCTCGGAGCCCCTCTGCTCGTGCCAGCGGCTGCACTAAGACAAATGCGGCGAGGGCCAGATCCCTCGGCTGCCGTAAATCAGCACAGCTGCTGAGAAGCTGGCCCAGGGTCTCCAGCCTTTTTAACCACAAGGTCACGTTTGCAATGTAAGCCCTACCTCAAACCCAAATACCCTTCCCGCCCCTGCTCCGAGGCCACACCCTGCTCGCTCCATCGCCCCTCCTCACTCGGGTAAGGGGCTGGGGTGCAGGCTCTGGGCTTGGGCCAAGGAGTTTGGAGTGAGGGAGGGGCTCCCAGTTTAGCCCAGGGGCGAGGAGGGGTTTCAGGGTGCAAGCTCTGGGAAGGAGTTTGGGTGCAGCAGGACTCACGTCCAGGGCAGGAGGTGGTTCAGGGCTGGGACGGGTTCAGGAAGCAGGCTCTGACTGGGCACTGCTTCCAGGTGGTGGGGCAGTGGGCTTAAGGCAGGTTCATTCCTTCCCTGGCCTTGCGCCACTCCTGAGAGCAGCTGGCATGTACAGCCAGAACTCCATGGCACCATGTGCTGCCCCTTGTCCATAGGCACTGAGCCCACAGCTTCTCCATTGCTGAGCTGCGGTTCATTCCTTCCCTGGCCTTGCGCCACTCCTGAGAGCAGCTGGCATGTACAGCCAGAACTCCATGGCACCATGTGCTGCCCCTTGTCCATAGGCACTGAGCCCACAGCTTCTCCATTGCTGAGCTGCAGGAGCTGCAGGAGCAGTGTCTGCAGGCAAGGGCAGCCTGTGGAGGCCCCCTGCTTTGCCTCTCAGGGGCTGCAGGGACGTGCCAGCCTCTTCCAGGAGCAGCAATCCCCAGAGAGAGAGTGACTCCAGCCACGACGGGTTCGGCATTCTAGAGCTCACTGCTCAAGGAATTACATTGAAGTGTGAGAGAGAAATGAAAGCGGTGAAATGCACGGAGCAGTCACACACCACCACTCCACCCATTGTGAGCAGTGACAGACGTAACAACCACCCCCCACGTGTGCTGGGTCTGGAGAGGAGCGTGAGGGACAGTGCGTGTGTGTGTGTGACAATGACAGACACACACAGCGTGACAGACGTTTGCTTTGCCAGGCTCCCTCCATCCCCCTCTCTCTGTGGAGACAGGGTACAGGAGTGGGGGGCAGGGACACCCTGACATCAGCCCCCCCTTCTCCGTCTCACACCCTGCACAGCAAGCAGGAGGCTCCGGGGGGCAGCTCCAAGGCGAAGGGCAGGAAGAGCATGACAGTTGGGGAGGGGCAGTTGAAGCGCTGGCACTTGAGAGCTTCCTGGCCAAGCCAGTCAGGATCCCCCATCAGAGGCGCCGAGATCGACTGGGAAAGGATCCCTGGTTGGTGGCCACTGCTCTAGCCCACTGGCAACTGATGCCTGCCTCTTGAGGCTGGGTGAAAAGGTGTTGGGCTGTGGACAGGGCCCCGGCTTGGTAGGAAGGGGCTGGCCTGGAACAGGGCATTGCACCAACCTCCCAGGCCCAGAGTGAGGTCAGGGCAGGGCAGCCCTGGACCCCCTTCCCATGAGGGCGTAGTTGCCGCCACTGCCCCTCCCAGGGGGGCCCCGTTGGCCTGTGAGCAGAGCTGGGGATGCTTGGCGGGAGGGAGGAGAGAACAAGGAGAGCCCTGGAATGGAGCGGACAGTGGAGACTGAAGCAGGGAGGGAGGAGGATGGCGGAGCGAGCGAGGCAGGGCCGAAAGCTGGGGAGCCGCCTGCGCGGGTGGCGTGAACAACACTCCTTGCCCCGGGGGCTTCTCGCGCCTTTCCGCAGTGGAGCACAAGGTGCGTCAGCCAAGGAGGCAGCACCCTGGCCCCCGCCATGCAAGCGGAGGAGCTGAGGTGCGGGGTGTGAAGTGACTTGCCCAAAGCCACTGGAAACAGAGTCCAGGGGCCAGGCCCGAGGCCACGCCGCTTAGTGCGGGGTGGAGGTGTGGGGGGCTGCCGCCTGCCCGGCAGCGAGGGGGATCAGCAGAAAGCAGCCCTGCGTGCTCAAGTACAGGGGGTGCCGCTCCCTGCAGGCGCATGCTCTGTCCTGGAGCAGCCGTAGCGCTTCCGACTCGCACCTTTCCGCCAAGCATCCCCAGCTCTGCACACAGAGCAGCGCCCTGCCCAGTGGATCCTGCATCAGGGTGCTGCCAGCTTTGGCACTCACGTCCGTGCATCGCGGGGCGTGGCCAGGGCAGCCGCAAATGGGCGTTAATGGCTCAGGGAGGCGTCACTGACACTCCTACGTGACAGTCCGTGTGCCTGTGCCAGCTGACCTCACACCAGGCCCCGCGATGCACGGACATGAGTGACAAAGCCAGCAGGACCCCGATGCAGGATCCCCTGGGCAGGGCGCTGCCGCCCTGTGCCCCTTGGCCCCAGAGCTCGCGTAGGGATTCAGAGCCCTTCCCGGCCAAGAGCTGCAGCCGTGGTAACAGGTACCTGATGTGGCTGGAAACAGTCGCGTGGTATCGAGGTTATTCTGCTCCCTCAGTTCTTCCTCGGTTCCTCCAGCTTTCCCGACCCCACTGGAACCGTGTGCGCAGGCCTCAATCCTGCAGGGGCTGAGCGATGGAGCGATCTACCCCCATAGACAACTGCGGAGTGGAAATACGGTGCAAATGTTTAACCGTGAGGGGAATTAACCACTGGAACAAGTGACCCAGGGCTGTGCTGAGCCTACGCTACTGGCAAGTCTGAAATCAGATTGGACGCTCCGCTAAGATAAGCTGTAGTGCAAACAGGAGTTAGTGCAGGGAAATCTCTGGCCTGCGCTAGGCAGGAGTGAAGGCTAAACGATCACAGAGCTCCCTTCTGGCCTTGCAATCTCTGAAACCAGACTCCTCAGCACGGCCTGGCTTTCGGGTGTCTCCACTTCCTCCGTGCAGAGCGGAGGAGGGCGCAAGTGCTGGTTAACCCATCTTTTCCATTTTAGGAGCTCCACACAGAAGACAACACCAGGTTCTGCCCAAAGGATGACAACGAACAAACATCCTTCAGCGAGCGCAACCCGCGGCAGGAGCCCAAAGGGGGCTTCCGGAGCTCCTTCCGCAAGCTCTTCAAAAAGAAATGAGCAGCCCAGCGGGAGGCGGGCAGGGAGCGCGCAGACCGGACACAGGCCAGGGCCACCACAAGAGAGAAGAAGGGGGGAGGTTTCACTGCTCAGCGTCTGGCTCTCCCTAAGACAGTGGAGGGGTGCGCGGTCAATCCAAATCAAGATGATTAGGGGTAGGCAACAGGGACCCACTGATCCCTCACCCCAAACCTACGCTCCACTTACCGCCAGCTCCCGCCCGCAATCGCCTTTGTCCTTTCCGCCCCGGCCCTGCGAGGCCCCAGAGCGGCAGCGCCCGCACGAGAGGCGCCTTTGCAGGCTCTCAGCTCGACTGGAAGCGGAAGGAACTTCCAAAGCCATTAAAGAACGTGGCTGAACAGGATCCCCCACTCGGTACTGCATGGCTGAGCGGCTCTGACCAGCGCTGAGCTTTGGCTGGACCCTGGCTCACCATCTCTGGCAGCTCCGCAGTAACTTTTCTTCGGCAAGTCCCTCCCGATCCTGTCAGTGCTGTAGCAACGGCTGCTCTTGCTGCCCCGTTTCTTGGGAGATCTTATTCGTGGGACGGCAGCCCTTGGCAATCATGGCCCCACTGTGCGAGGCATTTAGTCACGTGTGTAGTTTATAGGCTCTGCCCCGCCCCATTTTTGGGGGGAGCGGGGACTACAGAAAACTCGGCACGGGGACGCTCTCTCACTGCGTCTGTAAGACCAGGTCCAACGGGATGTGATCTTGTTGAGCCATCTCATGCAACTGTGGTTAGTAACTGTGGCTATGTGACAGCTCCACACCTCCCCTGGCCTACAGGGTAATATTGCGAACTAACTGGGATTGGTTAACTCCACCCATCCCCAGGTACAAGCCATGATTTTTCCCCCTCTCCCGCGGCCGTGCTGTGGCAAACCCTTAGCTCAGAAACGACAGCTGCACAGGAAGTTACCTTCTGCCCTTCAGTTGCAATGAGAGAAGGAGCCGCAGGAAAACTGGGCCTTTCCTGGGTGCTTTATGTATGAGCTTTGGCAGCAAGAACGGTTGGTTATGTAGGGCTGTAGCCCCAGAGGCAGTTTATTGTTTCTGTTACTCTAGCACCTCTGGTGCCACCTGGGATGGGACCCTGTTGTCCTTGGTGCTGTACAGACAGCGTAAGAGACAGCTCCCAGCCCTTCCCCGACAAGCTAATCGTCAAGGCAGACGTGAGCATCACAGGGTGCAGGAAAGGCGCAGAACGTACAAGTAGAGCTCCCAAATCACAGAGCCATAAGGCTGCATGGGTCTCTTGCAGCTTTTCCTGGGCTACTTGCACTAGGAGACTGCAAAAGTGACATATGGGACCACAGCCTTAAACAGCGACCTGGCCCATCCCACAGCCACCTTGGGATTGGCCCCATGGTATGGCTGGGGTGTGGGAAATGTGGCCAGGTTGAAATCTGGCTATAGACAAAGAAAGGAGGAACCCTCCGAGAAAAAATACTCTTGTGTCTTCTCAGTTTTCCCTCTGTTAGCATAATAATAATGATTATTGTTCATGTGTAGTGCCATAGCCCCTAGGAACTCTAGTCATGGACCAGGAACCCGGTGCTAGGCGCTGTATGAACACAGAACAAAAGGACAGTGCACACCCCAAGGAGCTTGCAATACAGGAGTTGATAGATGGATGCAGACAGGGGAGCATAAGGACAGTTCGACTGTCCTGTTCAGCACGATCAGCCAGGGTCTCCCCACACCAGCTGCCTAACAATCAGGGCAGGGGACGTTTTGAGGAAGACAATGGGGTAGCTTTGTGGGTGCCTACAGAAGGCTCCTCCCCCATGTGAGGGGCAACAAGGCAGAAAGCATGAAGAGGCTTGTTTGCGAATGTAACAAGTGGGCAGTGAAGGCTGGTATCCCAGGCCAATCAGAGTGGGAGTCAGCATTTCGGAGTAAATAAGAGATGAGGGGGAGGGGGAGAGAGGCCCTGAAGGGCCTAGAAAGTTTATGGCAAGTAGTTTGAGAGAAAGGGAGCAAGGAAGGGTTGCAAAGAGGGGTGACGTGGTCCAAGAGACAGCCTAGGACGCTGATCTCTGCAGTAGCATTCGGCGTGGCTATGACCAGGACAAGATGACATAGTCACGGCAAGAGAAGGACGTGGCAATAATCAAGCGGGAGGTTATGAGAGCTTGGATGAAAGTTCTAGCACGGCTCAGGAAAGGCCATACCTTAGGCCTGGTCTATACTGGGATGGTGCAGAAAGAACCTACAAGATTTAGACAGCCTGGAAGTGAAGGGTTAGAAAGAGATCCCAGGTGAAGATGACTCTATTGCAAGCTTGAGTAACAGGCAAGATGGAGTTGTCGCCAGCAACTGAGAAAGCGGGACGGTTTGGAGGGTGAGGGGGGAGACAAGGAGCTCTGTTTTAGTCAAGTTCAGCTGCAGCTGCTGGCTGCGCACCTGTGAAGAGATGCCAGAGAGCCCGGGCAAGATTCTGTTTTGGACAGAGTCACTGGCCCAGAGATGATAGAGGGCTTTGTGTTTAGATGAGATTGCCCAGCAAAAGCTGTAGAGAAGGGAGCCAAGGATAGAGCCCTGTGGGACGCAGGGTCAGATTAATGAGATTGGAGGGCAAGGGCTAGTGTTTTTTGGAGGCCTCCACAAACTGAGAGCAAAAAAAGGACCCGTTTATGACAATCAACAAGTCACGTATGATACTGAACAAATACACAAAAATCAAAGACAATGAACAGATTATACACTTCCTGGACAAACATAAAACATTGAGTCAAATGAAAATTGTACTTGTTGAAATGGACATTTTGTGAGCTTTGAGAGCTGCAAATTGAGTTGTTATATCCTCAGACACTCCACGTAGATCTCATTCATTTGGCATGATCATAAGAGCATTAAGCTTCATTTCTAACTGTAGTTGACTAAAGCATTTTTTTTAAATAAGACAGGCTTAGAGAACAATTGTTCAGCTTGCCAGCTGGCAATAGGCCCAATCAAATACAGTCTCAACAAGAGGACACTTAGGAAGACATTACACAGTTTTTGTCTTGTAAAAATGTGACGATTCACCGTTGCTTATAAATGCTGAAATGATGCATTTCAGTGAAAGGGCTGGGCTCTAGATCACCTGGGAAAGTGTCGGGCAATGCCTGAGTGCATGTTTGCATCTCCTCTTGGTGCTTGTTCAAGAAACATCAAGAAGCCAAATTTTGCAGATAGTTCAGCATAACATTCACTTCTCTTTCATTCTGAACTGACTTTATCAAGGAGAACAAAAACATTCAACCTCATATGACCGTCTTTCTGGAAGGGTCACCTTTGCCATCTGGAAACATTTGTTTTACAGAACATTTGTATTCTTCATGGTAGGCCTCATCTTCACTTCCCAATTTTCTGCTTGTCTATCAAAAATTGTCAAAATTGAGCCTGTAACCTCGTGAGAAATTTCTGCAAGGATGTCAGCAAGGGAACAGCAATGACGAAATCCAGGCCTGGCTTTTGAAGCTTTACATTAGTGTCATCAAACGTAGCGTGTCAGTCTATAACAGGGCTACTCAACATGCGGCCTGTTTGTTTGCGGCCTGCAGTGCACTTTGGGTTTACACAGGGCTCAACACGGGGCTTGCAGGTGGGAGCCAGAAAAAGTCGTCAATATAATGGTTATCTGTTGATATGGGTTTTAGTAGTTAAATTCCTGGGCTGTCATTGCTCATTAGAAATGCTGTCATATGGGTGGAAATGGGGTAAATATTGTATTTTATTAATATCAGCAGAACTGACTTAAATGGGGCCTGCGTGTTGTGTAGTGTTGCCTTTATCTTTGCATTCATGCACGTCAGTATAAAAGAAGCTATTTGCATATCTATTTACATGTATGTGCAACCACACTTAAGTTGCGACCCTCGGCACGTGCTGAGAGGATCATTGTGGGCCCCCGGGGCATCCAAAGTTGAGTAGCCCCGGTCTAGAAGAAACTCATAACTGCAGTAAGCACATTTCCTTGTACGACTATCATGCCTTTCTTCCAGTTTTGCCAGTTTTCCTTGTTTCCTTCAAACACTGAATGCCGTCATTGTCCACTGCCACCGTTTCACAAGTTTCAGCGACAGCACTATCTTGTCTCCAAGAGGGTTTTTAGGGCAAAGATTGTCCTTGTTCACGTCTGATAACGTTGCCCAGGGACTGTCATTGTGTGACGTCACATTAAAAAAAAATAGTTTCTGAGCAAACTAGAAAAGGTTTTGGTTTCCATGCAGAAATCAGTGCCGCAAATTTTAAGCAAATTCAAACAATGAGCTGGGCATGGCACACACAGTTAGTGGGCTTAGTTAGCAACTGAATTTGAAGAACTTCATACTTTCCAGACATGGCAAGAGTGGCCATACTGGGTCAGAGCATCTAGTCCAGTGTCCTGCCTGCCGACAGCAGCCAATGCCACTGTTACCTCTGGTATCAGATGGCTGATCTCTGAAATCTTCAACAGCCATGTTTTGTGTGTCCAATAAAGATGTCACCATCTGGAGAGCAACTTGCCTGTGTGGCTTTCAGCTGGTAGACACTCAACTCAAAGTCGGATGTAGCGCCACGGGAGCAGCCGTGTGAAATGATGTAACAGATAAGCTGGAGTGATAGCAGGACTTCAGGGCGCTGCCACAGAGGAGCATTTCACCGGTTTGACTTCAGTTGCAATGAATTCCAAACCGTGTGTTTCATTAGCTCAATGAACTTGCCACAGATTGGTTTTGACAGCGATGGTGGAAGACCTTTCCTGTTTCTCAATGTTTCACGTGCTCACTTAGAAATTGGTCAAATTTGGCGATGCTTCCAAGAATACTGAGATTGTTTCTTTTTCTGAGGAGAGTTGATAACTTTCTCCCTTCTCGAAATGCTCATCACCTTCAATGACAGGCTTAACAATTATCACAATACATCTTAAAACTTCCTTCCAGTAAGCCCTTTGCACTAGAAGCAACTGGACCAAATCCCTGTCAAACCGATGTTTGCCTTGCAAGTCTGCTACCTATTGTGACATTCCACACTGGTTTCTTGAGAACAAAACCCCTCCTCTTTTTTTCCCTCCCATTTGGAAATGCCTGGGATTATCAGGCAATTAAAAGGCTGCACGTGAAAAAGAATAGTGCTATGGATTTAC